ATAATCTGTACAGACTGCAAGATTTTATTATTAAGACAAATATAAAATCTCTTCAGAATTTTACTTCACAATGGTCTTGTGTACTTGACTGGTTTCAAAATCTTCAGATCAGTAGTATAGTATTAAAAGAACTGCAGAAACAAGGGGGATACTTAGAGATTTACTAAATTTGAAGATCTTATAACACAAAACTTGAAATATTTGCTGAGTTTTATTTGTAAATTGTTGTTCTAAACATTTAGATCAACAATAAATATCTTAAATAGATTGGTAGCAACAGCCAACTAGAGAAACTGTTTTGTTCATTAGATAAAAGTTTATTGAAGGAAGAAAGGAGAACTAGTGAGTTGTTTGCATTCACTGAGGACAAAGTCTGAAGAATCCCTCATTTTAATTCTGAAGGACTAGATCAAAGAGAAATTGTAAGACAAAATTGTAGCAAATCACCAGGCTTAAATATGTATACCTAAAGCTTTTCACAAAGCTCATGTAGGAAACAGATTTTCTAATAAAATTACATAACATGATTATTATTAGTATTTTGGTGGGGAAACTCAATCATTTTATGAAAAAGGATTTGGGGGAATGAAAATCAAAGGCCAATTGGTTTAATATGTATCCTGCTTAATTTTTTTAATATACAATTAACCTACAGTTTAATTTAGTTATTTAACATAAGAGAAAAAAGGCTTATTGAAGAAGAATTAATATTTCCCCCCCCCAAAGTATGTTTTTTTACCATTCATTCTTAGCCACTGTGTAAGATAACAAGCATATTTTATATTTGGGACTTTGATTTTGATAAATCCCTGAACAAAAGCTCAACAGCCATGGTATAAGTTGATGAGTTCTAGGATAGAGCAAACTTGAAAATGACCAACACATTTTTTCCAGTCTCGCTAAGTAAATCAAACACTACAACCTACTAAATTCTACTCTTCAAGCAGTATACAAAAGAATATAACTCAGCTTTTTATCAGAGCATAAATACCGTATTTTTCCATCTATCAGACGCCCCCATGTATAAG